GGTTTCGACTTATTTCTACTTAAGAAGTAGTTAAATAATTAAGCGATTAGGGAATTGGGGACATAAACAAAACCCTGACGAAAGAGCCGGAATACTATATTACTTAAACAAAAGCTTAACCGAACCAATCTATAGCCGAGCACAGTAGTGACCGATTTCTTCGAAATACTGTATTAGATGTAATAAAGACAGAAATTTTTCCAGTTCGACGAGAGTGACCGAAAATTTGTAAATTTTGGAAATTTCCGTGGACAACAGCTGGTCCTAAAACGAATTAGTTAAAAAAACAAAAGACGGACAATCTATTAAGTTTAACATATTTAGACTTTTACAGCTATGGTGAGAAATGTTTAAAATTTACAAGAACACTGTCGCGTCTTTTGAGGTATATTAGTGATGCGACAAAAGAAGCATTTGACATTGCCAAATCCCGAGGGATTTGGCAGCCCGCGTGCCTGTACAGTACACACCGCACACCTAGCAGGACCGTCTCTGATTCCACTCGTAGGGAGCTATTTGNTATTTATGGACATTACATTATTGAAATAAATATTGTGAATAGTTCATAAACTTTTTTCCAGATCGTTGTGAAACAATTGAAGGTGAAACTAAAATGACATGGAATGAATTTTGCAAGGAAATTAACGCAAAATGCAAAGTAGAAACAAAAAATATCACATGTGACTGTGTACATAAAGATTATTATTTTGACAGCAATCAAAGAAGATGTCAAAGTTTGTTTTTGTTTTTCTGTTCACATTGGTTTCAATTTAATTTGTAAAGTTTCAATAGTTTTATTTAATACGTAAACTTTTTCAGTTGAAGATCAATGCAAATACGAAGTTTGTGGTGATGGTGCTAAGTGTATACATATCAAAGATACTTACGCAAGCGAATGCAATTGCAGCGAGGAACAATATTATGATTATTCAGAGAATAAGTGTTTAAGTAAATTTTTCGTATTAAAACATCTTAAATTTTCATAAGAGGTCGAGATATAAAAGTTTATAAAATTCAATTTATTTTTTTGTAGGTATTGATAAATGTTTAGGTAAAGTATGTGATGTATTTAAAGAATGTAAAAAAGGTGAATGCAAGTGTATAAAGGAATTAGAAGACAATGGTACAAACTGCTTTGGTAAGTGATCTTTCGTTTTGAATTACTTAACATAAATTAGTAAAATATCTGTAAAATACATTTATCAGAGATTTATACATACTGTATATCTTCTAGTTTACTGTCCTGTATATTATGAAAACAACACTCCGAATATATTTCGAATGTTGTTTTTATAATGTTTGGAAAAAACATTCCAAATTCGTTTGTTCCAAAGCATCTGCCAGAATGAAAATATAGCATTCGAGAATATCAGACTGCTTCTGTTGGTCGACATCTCATATACATTAGGCAGTGCGTCGACAACAATTGTTTACGTCTCAGCTTGAAAGTCGTCACTTTCGTATTTATCATAATACAGGTTGTCTCTTTTATCATACCTCATATAAAGTTCGTACTGTAGTTGGCAATAACATCTTTGGATGCAACGAACCATCGGCGTTATTAGATCTCTTTACGTTATTACGCCGTTAGGTTTAGGATTAATAGCGTATATAAACTTATATGCAGTATAAAGTTCATATTCTTAAAGTAAAATTTATCTTAATGTAGAGGACGTGGTTGCTGTATCATCAAATGCAGTGTGTAGCGTCTTTTTAATCCAAAACAATCATTGGTAGACGAACAAACAGCAATTGGTTAGAAAACCTTACGTTTTATTTAAAAATTTCTAATTCAGATGCATTTCGGGTTGGCTTGTATTCCAAACCCCTCTTCAGTGCTGTCAAAATTACAAAAAATAAGGTTAGTTTCAAGACATTGGTGAGTAGGAACATAACTAAAAACGCGAGGTGATGATAACATAAAATGCTTACTTGTTATATAATGGTACAACATAGACGTATTTTACAAAATTTTTAATTACATAGTAGTATGGTTATAATTTATGATATGAAAAAAAGTGGAATAAGGGGAGGCTGTTTAACACATCATTTATATGAAGAAACGTATAACATAGAATATTAATTTAAAAAATATCAATAAACACTTACATTTTAGTTTAAATGCATTATTTCCGATACAAAAAGGAACAGAGTACAAAAATTAACAACTGGTTTATCCGGTGTTCACCGAGTAACAGAATACCGACAAGTAATGTTATATAAACAGTTCCTTACATTCCGTACACGGGGGTTGTGCTTTAAACAATCTTTAACGCGTGGAGGCGTTCTCAATGAGTTTATACCATTGGGGGTCTATGGACATGCCTTCTGAAACATTAATTAAGTTATCTTTAGGGTGTTTTTTGATTTCTATGTGTTTTTTAAATTTTCTTTTATATGGGTCTTTTTCTAAATGTAACACTTTTATATTGTTTTTATTAATTTGGCAATTATAGTCTATTGTGTGGTAGTACCAGGGAGAAGTGTTATGTTTTAGGCGGATGGCAGCCATATGTTCTTTAATTCTTGTTTCTAGTGACCGGCCTGTNTATATCTAAATAAATAGATGTTATATGTTTTTATCAAAGCAAGAATTGGCATTTAGAAGGCATATGGAATATATTGGATATAATAACAGAGGCAATTATAATGAACTTGTTTATTACGTACGTCAGATAAATAATCTATTAAAAATACATTTAAAGAAAGAATTAACTGATTACCCCTGGATGTCGGCTTCTTATAGAAACACAACTTCCCTATCATCAAATGTCACGGCACGCCCCTGATAGAATGTCTTTTCCATATTTGAGTTAGCAGTTGTAGTTTCAACTCAAAATCTTAAATTCTTTTCTTTTCAGCCCTTGGTATATATGCAGAAGGTTGAATTATAAGAACTTTTAACACACAAAACACTAACAAGACCTTGTGTGCCCCTCATAGATCCACCTTGGTCAACAATGGTGGTGACCAGATGATTAACAGACAGGGTTCAACATATTTGGGAGGGGAGAGTATATAACATTGATACCTTTACAACCTCTTTAACATACAACCATCCATTTTTAAGAATTAGATTTCAGTTTTTTATTAGACAATGTTAATGTGTTTTTAATGTCATACTTTGTTCTGACTTGAATTGAAGATGAATGAGAATGTTCTTTGGTCATAACAGCATGTCATATAAAGCCATTAAGACAGATGTTTCATCATTTTTCATGTTTTAGAACAGGGATGGGTAACCTTTTTCTGTATAAGGGCCGCATTTCAAAACTTTTGAACTGACGCGGGCCTCATACAAGATAAGGGGGAATGCCGATAAATCAATTATTTATTCATATATAATTATAAATTTGCATAGATATACTTAATTTAGCTTCTAGAACTGATGTAAACGTAATGTATCGAAAATATTTGATTAAATACTAGTCACTTCTAGTTTTAAATTAATTTCGATGTGAGTCTATTAGCGGTTTCGTGTTTTAATTTTTACTAAATTCATTGCAGGAAAAACTATTTATATACATAAGTTGTAGTAAATAACGTTTGAATTTTTGCTGCATACTTCTTAAGCTAGGAAATTGATATATGGACCTCATACGGGATTATACGTATTTTATGCGACGCGGACCGCATTAATATTAATGTGGCCCGGGCGCGGGTTGCCCATCTGTGTTTTAGAACACGGGGAAGTGATTCATCAGAATTTGTGAGAAATAAATACTCCACACTGCCAATGTTTAGTTCCTGTTTGAGTATAGAAAACAATATAATGGAAAATTAACACATCTAAAAGCCTTAATTAGTAATTAATTTCAATTGTCCTGAATGTTCTGTTTCAACTTTATAAATGGAATTGTTTAAAACCTAAAACAGGGATTAAAATTAACTTGTAAGATGATCGGGCACTAGTTTTAGAATTATATTTTAATAAAATTTATCACATTCTCTTCATTTAAATCCTCTGACTTGACTGACTTATTAAAAATGTGAAGGTTAAAAACAATTTGAAATTACGTGAAAGATTAAACTAGATACCAGTAAGTGATGAAGACCAGTTTTAAAGCATTGAATTGCAAAATTTGGCAGAAAAATCAACCCAAAATCGAAATTATAGAACAGGAAGTAATTGATAAAACGTTTATATACGTCGTTGATTTTGCTTTCAACCGTATCGAGAACTGTAAACAATCTTTGAAGCATCTCCTGAAACATTCACTCATCCCCGAAATTCTACTGTCTGACCTAGTTTCCAGCACATCTTGTGCTCTAGACAAGTGAAAACAATACTGTTTTCTGCGTTTAAATTCCTCTAGAACGTTAAAAAATTAATATTTACCATTATTTTTCAATTTATACGATTAATATTAAATATATTTCATTATTTGCGAGCGAGTGCATCTCTTCTAATTAGAAATCCTGTTTACAATAAGAGGTACTTCAGGATTTTTTATCGTAAATTTATTTTTCAATTGTTCAGCTACTCGAACTAGTTACTTTGAATGATTGTCCATTAGTTCCACGTGAATAAATACGTAGAAATCTTCCTGTTTGTTCAGAATTCCATAAATCATCACTACATCAACATGTACAAGAGTTTACTTTCGCTTTGCTGCATTCTTACGATCAGCCGAGCCGAAGGTAATTGCCAAAATTTTAAAATTAGGACCCGTTACAATAACTTAATTTAATTGTTTATCCTTCAGATGCGTGCGATCTCCGTCTCGATCCAGGATTCTGCAGGGCATCCATGGAAAGATACTACTACGATAAGAGCAATGGAAGTTGCTTGATGTTCATGTATGGAGGATGTGGCGGAAACAAGAACAATTTTAAAACTAAGGAAGAGTGTTTAGAGGTGTGCAAAGGTAAAAACAATTTAGAAGAGTTTAAAATTATGACGTAGTTAATACTTTAAAAAAAAAATTGCTTCCTTGTTTTAGATGGGAAGAATTTCGTGAAGGAAAAATCGTCGTATAAAGTTGTGTAGTTGTAACTTAAATTATTTTCTTCCTTTAATAAATTATTTTCCTATAATTTTATACGTGTAAGCAAGCATTGTCTACTAATCCTATAGGATTTTTGAGTTATCAGGAGCAAAGCGTTATCGGGGTACTATAGTTATCAGAATTTCACCCAGACCTACTAATTAATGATTTAATGGAGTAGAATCTATATAGTTACTCATAAACATTATTTGAAACGTTCAATGGACTAAATTTGACCCCAATTTTTTAAAATTTAAGCTCAGTTGAACACGAAGCATCGGTTAGGATCGTGGATATCAGAACAGATTCTCCGTAAAAAGTAAGAAATTTCTTCGTGTCGAATAGAGAATTCTAGCTTCTTAAATCGTTAATTCGAATTAAATCGCATTAAAACGAGCTAATCGCGCGCAATGACCTTCGGTATGCGAAATATACATTAAAACTAGATTTTGTTTCGTGTGTAGATGAATTCAAGTTTTGAGTAAGGATAATCCCAAACTTAGTTGATTTTTTTCATTTCGATAATCGGTTTTCATTCCAAACAAAAATCCAGTAACGTGTTGATTAACTTTCTTGGCAACATTTGGTGGCGCCATCTGTTACTAAATTAAAAATATGTTAATAACGAGTAAAATCGTCATTAAGTCTGGCCCTAATCGAAATATGAATATGATGCACCATTTTTGCATTTCTCGAGGTTTTAAGGTCTCGAGTCCACAAAAGTAAAACTCTTGGGGGTCATGTTTTGACCGATTGCCATACTTTCTCTCTGTTATATATAACAGCTGGAAAAATGATTGTGGTCTAAACCGATGTTAATTAATGTTAAATCGAAAGTTTTAGTGATAAATATGGAATTAAATCGCCATTTACTTCTTCAATAATCTATATGTGATCATCAGATAACTGGATGCCAAGATGATAAAAGCGTCAATACTCTTGGGAATCTCAGTTTTGAATCTTGGGAATCAGCCCAAATTTTCACAGGAAAATTGCTCCAAGTATTTCAATCTTTTGCCACCTGGCTGTGTTCCTATTGTGTGTCATATCCAAACCAAAACACGCATGATAAAGATACTGTAGAGCATCGATTATCCGACTCAATTGGGTACTGAGGTTGGTCGGATAACTGAAA